CTGCAGAGGGTCCAGAGTCTGCAGAGGGTCCAGAGGAGCAGAGGGTCCAGAGTCTGCAGAGGGTCCAGAGGAGCAGAGGGTCCAGAGTCTGCAGAGGGTCCAGAGGAGCAGAGGGTCCAGAGTCTGCAGAGGGTCCAGAGTCTGCAGAGGGTCCAGAGGAGCAGAGGGTCCTGTTGTTCAGAACATTTAATCCAGATCGATGATGCAGGTTTTTCTGATCAGCTGATCCATTGCCTGAATCCAGGCATCTGCTGAGATCAGATCATCCTGAGTGTTTTGGATCAAAGGAATCTCAATCTGACCAAAAAGTTTGGACTAACACAAACTGAAGGTTTGATCCAGATCAAAATCCAGACTGGATTACATGATCTCATCTGATTTCAGACTCTTCCCATTTTCAGGATGTGATTCAGTCCGACAGCTGAATCAGATTATAACTCGGAGGGAGCAGCGTGACATCTGACGTTCGTCCTCAGGTCCTTAAAAACAAGTGACAGAGTCAGGAGGTGTGGCGTCAGACAGAAGCCAGCTCAGAGTGCCCAGAGTCTGACAGGACGTCTGCACGCTGCTCTCAAAGCTCCTCGCGTCTTATAACTGTGCAGCGTTTCCATCGTCGTCAGCTGTCGTCAAATCACCAACAGGTTCAGCCCACTCTCAGGTTGGACCAATCAGAGCAGAGCTCAGTGACGCTGTCTGAGCCTCACACACAGGGAACCAACACGTTCTCATCCCAGGTCATCACGTATCGCCTCTTTGTCAGACTCTCACATCACAATATGGCGTCTGATGTTTACGCTCATCACATGCAGCGTCTTTTCAAAATAAACTTCCGTATCCACAGGAAATGCACACTTCCTGCTCGTTAGATGAAACAGACTTTTTCAAAGTAAACAAATTGTCTTAATTTGACAGTCAAACAAAACCTCACAGTTCAGTTCATCACACACACAACACCAACGGCTCCTGGGCGAAAGTCCAGGGTTTGTTGAACCGCCCACCTGTGTGTGTGTGTGTGTGTGTGTGTGTGTGTGTGTTTATGTGTGTGTGTGTGTCACACAGGTGTATTTTCTCACTCAGACTGCTGATGAGTGACTGAGTGAGTGACTCAGTCAGGTGGAGGTGTGGAGCGTCTGGAGGAATGTGGCGGTGCAGGTTTGTGTTTCCTGCTCCGACCGGTCCGACTCATCAGACCGCAGGAAGTCTCAACCTCAGTCGTTGTGTTTCTTCTCCTTCACAGATTCATCCCGTCACTCTCTGTGTGTTTGGTGTGACGCTGTCGGCGGCGACACTTGGACGTGTCCCCTCAGGCTGCTGGACCCTGCTGTGAGTTTGTTGTTGGTCACTGGAGCCGGTCGGAGCGGTGGATGAACGGAGGCGTGGGGCGATGGCGGTGAATCTGAGTAAGAACGGTCCTGCGCTCATGGACGCTTATAAGGAAGTGGTGGATGGCAACTTAGACACGAACTGGTGAGCTGTCTCTGATCGTTCATGACAAACTTTACTTCCTGTTTGAAGTGTGTGATGATCAGCTGCTGACGGAGGAGTGTGTCCTTACACTGTGTGTGTGTGTGTGTGTGTGTGTGTGTTTCAGGGCTCTGTTCACGTATGAAGGGAACAGTAATGATATCCGTCTGGCAGATAAGGGAGGTAAGACATGATGGACACAGTCAGTCACATGTCCAAGTCTTAAACAAGTCCCAAGTCATTGTGGTGAAAATCAAACAAGTCACAAGTCGAGTCACAAACTCAAAGATAAGTTAAACTGCACCCAGTGAAGGAATGTAACTAAACACTTTCACTGTGGTGCAGATCTGAGTCTGCCTGTACTCCACTACATTTATCTGACCCAAACCCAACCTCTTGTGTGTGTCGGCTAAATGTAACCACATGTGTGTTGTTGAAGGAAAAAAACATTGACGTAGTGCTTTTATTTTGAAAGAGACTGTATGCAAACTGTACATTTCCTGTGAAAACAGAAGTGTATTTTGAAAACAGACAATGCATGTAACAGGCTGAAGTTGACACGGCGTCCCAGAACGTCAACAACCAACACACCCAGGGTACCTTGGACGTCATATGTGGACGTGGAAAGTCCATGACCAAACGTGGACATGTGACGAGGCAACACATTCTCACTCCGACCCCGTCTGTTTTCGAAACACACTTCTGTTTTCACAGGAAATGTACAGTTTGCATAGTCTCTTTCAAAATAAAAGCACTACGTCAGTACAACATCGTGATTTTGAAGTTTTGTTTTGTTTTTACCTTCAACAACACACACGTGGTTACGTTTAGGAAAAAAGAACAGGGTTTGGCTTGGACAAGTACCTAGTACAACCCCACATTAAAATATCTGCACTTTAAGTCCAGGGCTGTATGAATGTCAGTGTCATGAGAATTACATGTAACAGAAATGTTGTTTCTGAGTGTTGCTTGTGGGTATTCTCCAACGCGCCTCGCGGTGTGTGCAGATGGTGGGTTGGAGGAAATGGTGGAGGAGCTGAACAGCGGGAAGGTGATGTACGCTTTCTGTCGCGTCCAGGACCCAAACTCTGGACTGCCCAAATATGTCCTCATAAACTGGGTGAGACGCACAAACACACACAGACACACACACACACAAATCTAAAAATCAACATACAGATATGATCGGCTCACTTCCTGGAGTTTATATGTGCCCACATGTGTGCAGACAGGTGAAGGTGTGAAGGACTCTCGGAAAGGAATATGTGCAAACCATGTCGGCTCAATGGCCAACTTCCTGAAGGTGAGTCTGATCTGATCCATCTGCGATCCAGCGTCCTCATGTGAGGACATCACATTCTGTTTAACTCAGTGTTCATGGACACGTTTTTATGCCATCTAGTGGCAGTAAGAGCACAACACCCTAAGCCATGGAAAAACAACATGGCAGCCATCTCTGTCAAGTCAGTGTGCAGCTGACCCCAATACTGAAGTGGAGGAGGTCCAAAACCTGATCACATGTTGTGGTTGAGACTTGTTTCGTTATGTTTAATAAAGTTTGTAGTTTGATATGAAGACACGTGACCAGTTTTAGTAACAGTAAGAAAATAAGACACTGTTAATGAGGAAGTACTCATTTAAGGACATCAGGACTTTTTTTATTGTCTTGTTTGAGGACGTTGGGACTTAATGAGTCCTGCTGACCCCACTGTGCTGGGAGAAATTAAGGATGTGTCCCAAATGGGAGCTCAGCTGTCAGGAGGTGAATGCAGACTCAATGATTGGCTGTAACATGTGTGTAACCACAGGGAGCCCATGTGACCATAAACGCCCGCGGAGAAGAAGACGTGGAACCGCAGAGCATCCTGGAGAAGGTGGCCAAGGCCTCTGGAGCCAACTTTAATTTCCACAAACAAACAGAGTACAAAGACGCTCCCAGAGGACCCGTGGTGAGAGGACACACATTTATATTTTCACCTGAGTCACGGTTCTTAGGATGATAAAGGTTTCTACGATAACTGCACTCGAACCAAACCGAAACATGACAAACTTCTATCAGGTATAAGGTCATGGTTAGGTTTAGGCAGCAAAAGCACCTGGTTGGGTTTCGGAAAAAAGAACAGGATTTGGGTTAAGAATCCTACAGGACGTGAACACTGCTATCTCAGATAAAACTTAACCACATGTTGTTGTTGCCTACATGTAACCACGTGTTTTTGTTGCCTAAACCTAACCACGTGTTTTTGTTGCCTAAACCTAACCACATGTTTTTGTTGCCTAAACCTAACCACATGCTTTTGTTGCCTAAACATAACCACATGTTTTTGTTGCCTAAACCTAACCACGTGTTTTTGTTCCCTAAACGTAACCACATGTTTTTGTTGCCTAAACCTAACCACGTGTTTTTGTTGCCTAAACCTAACCACATGCTTTTGTTGCCTAAACATAACCACATGTTTTTGTTGCCTAAACGTAACCACGTGTTTTTGTTCCCTAAACATAACCACTTGCTTTTGTTGCCTAAAGCTAACCACGTATTTTTATTCCCTAAATGTAACCACATGTTTTTTTTGCCTAAACCTAACCACATGTTTTGTTGCCTAAACCAAAACACGTTTTTGTTGCCTAAACGTAACCACGTGCTTTTGTTGTTGAAGGAAAAAAACCCTCAATGTGCGGTGTTGTACCAACAACGACAAGACAATGTATGTGACAGACTTAAGTTGACACGGCGTTCCAGAACGTCAACAACCAACACACCCATGTCCACGACCAAACATGGACATGTGACGAGGTCGCAGTGAGGATGTGTTGGTGTAGCAGAATAAAACAAGTCAGCGCTCTCCTCTGCTCCGACAGGGTTCGGTGTATCGGAAGACAAACGCTGTGGAGGAAATCCAACAAACCAAAAAGGACGACTTCTGGGTCCAAACTCAGGTTTCTCTTCATATCGTCATATTGTTGTGAGTATCCAAGTAAACAACCTGAGTATTATCTAATGTAAAACAAACAAACTCTGTCCTTCAGAGGGATGAAGAGGAGCGTCGACGGGAGGAGATCCAACGAGCAGAGCTGGAGAGACAGACAGTGGAGAGGGAGAGGAGGGAGATGGACGAGAGGCAGGCAAAGGAGAGGGAGAGGAGAGCAAAGGAGAGAGCTCAGCAGATTGAGCAGGAGAAGTGAGTCAAACAACAACGACAATAACAACAACAACAACAACAACAACAATAGGAACAGCTAAACAAAGAACCAGAGCCACTGACTGCTGCTTTCTATGCTTGTGAATTTTCAGGTTGTTTCAGAGGCAGAGAGAAGAAGAAGAAGAAAGACAGAGGGAGCAGCAGCGACAGGTGAGATGATACTGGAAAAATCTGTAAAGACCCTTTTGGGGCCGGCGTCACGATGACATCGTGTTATCAGCTGGAGGTGCAGCTGCCTCTCCCCCACAGGGCTGTAGGCTCCATAGGAGTGTTAAAATGTGTTTGTCTTGTTGTGTTATTGGGAGCCAGAATAGAAGGAGTCATGGCTCAAAACCAGCCGCCACTGCCCGTCAACAAAAACAAAGACAACTATGGTTAAATGTGATAAGACCAAAGGACTGGACGGAGGCCATTATCAAAAATGCTCACATGTGCAGCGCACACTTCATATCAGGTTAGGGAAAAAGTATTTCCTGTTGTAGGGATGAATAAGGTTATGTGTATTAAGGGTTATCATGTCCACCTCATCAGAAACTGGGGAGGGATTAAGAGGAAGATTGGATTTCTCTGCAACGCTAACTTTTTAGCACATTAGCTAACGTTAGCTTCCATAGCAACACAAACAAGTGTGGTCCTCCTTTGTAAGATTGGCTTCCTGTGACATCATCCATCCACTGAGTGAGAGCATACGGGTCGGCCAGTCTGGTCCCGTTGGTCAGTGTTTACTTATTCCAGTAACACTGGCGGTCCCGGAGAGTGAGTGACCTGACATGGTGCGTTGGTAAATTCAGTCTGACGCTCTACACTAAAATGAGAGCCCTGTTGGTGGAAGAAACGCAGCGTTATATTTCTACATGAATGAACCAACGGTTAAGTTAATCACACATTCACTCCGCTCGGCGCTCTGCTGCTCCGTCTCCACAGACAGAGTGTCCAGAGTGCGCTCTGCCACTCTGAGAGTGCGCTGCTCTGGATAACCCAACGCTACATTCAGACAGCGCTCCAAATTTATCAACGCTCCAGTTTGTGTCAGAGTGCGCTCCCACACTCACAATGAGTGTTTCTGAACGCACCACTCACATAATCTTCCTCCATCGTCTAAAACAAAACAACACAACTTGTTAGCTAGCGCTAGCTAATGTCTGTGGAGAACTGTTTTGCCTCCAGCTAAGCCCCGCCCACTAGTAGTACGACTAACAGTAACAGGGTCTATAGGCTTGTCAGTCACTCTCACTCAACAACATTATTTTTCTCACTAAACAGTCAATCATGTGTCTGTTTTAGAACCAGCCAGAAAATGGATACAAGAAGTCGGGAATTAACTCTGCTGCCTCGGTGCAGAAAGCTAACGTGAGTATGAACTCGTATATGATTCTCCTCATATGAGTGTATTAACATGTGGAGAAGAAACTGGTGTCAGAAATGTGAAATACTCATTTTAAGAGAGATTTTCTGTTATTTTATTTTTGCTCTTGAGAAACCAGGTCTGTCAGGTTTGGTGGGCAGCTCTCAACACTACATTACCCATGAGCCTCAGCAGCTGTTGCTGTGGAAGTACCTAAAACCGACCAGAATCAGAAAGTGGATTGACTTTAAACTAGAGATGGTGAAATCAGTTTTCTTAACCGTGTCATTTTTGGCACTGTTAGCAGTGCACATAAAGGACTATGAAGCTGTGATTGGATGTTTCTTAAAGAAATGCACCCTGGGAGTCATAGTCTCCTTCAGGTTTTATGTCCACATGCTTCTACCCATTTATGAATTTATTTTTTGTTACAAACTGAACATGTGGAGTGTGAAAGACATAAGCATTTACTGGACAGGGAGGGTCTCATGAAAGAGGCTACTGTGGTGCATTATGGGAAATGCAGAATCCTGATTTTTTTTTTAGCTTGACCCTTACCAGGGACTAAATGACCTTAAACCTTGTGTATGTAACTTTTTACATGATTGCCCTTTATTGGCAGCGGGTGATCAGGTCGTACCGTAACTAACTAAAAACAGAGACCTAACTTTCTTGTTTTCCCTAATTTCTCTGAGAAAATCCAAAGGATTTGATTTCATGTGCGTTCCCAAGTATCTTGCCTCTCCTCAGCTCTGCTGCAATGCTAACAGTGTGCAACACTAGCTAACGTTAGCAAAGAAGTCTGCTGATATCAACAAACAACTGTCCACACATGCTGTGTTACCACTACATTTTGCAGCAGTGGCCTGGCGGAGACGGCCCTTCACTTATAGCGCCCTGTAGCAACTCACATTCAGCCAGAGCAAGACCAAGCGTCGGGGGTCTGATCCTGGACTGTCCTCCTGACTGCCCAAGTCCCCGCTTGATCAGCAAACTTTCTGTTGCTGCCGTTACACTGGTAAAGGCCTTACCATACTGAGTCCAATTTTGTTCGTCTGAAATTGTTGCACGTCTAAAAATAATTACGACTTTACTTTGAGTCACTCATGTTTGCACACGGAGTCTAAAACACTTGTCCCTCACGAAAATTTTTGGAACAGATTCAGTTTTCTGTGTTTTTCGCCTCCATCAAAGCCTTTGGAGATGTTTGACTGAGAAACACTGACGAAAATGTGGCGGTGGGACACAGCCGCAACAAGACAACGGAATGGGGCGCAGAGTCATTTCATAACTCAGACAGCTACGTTCAGCAGGTCAGGTAGTGATATTCAGGTGGATGATGATGAAGAGGAAGAGCCAGAGCCGGCTTGAGTCAAGCTCAGACCGGCCAGTTCACACCGCTGACACTTTTCTCTGTGACGTTCTAAAACAGTTTCATCTCGTCACCAATCTTTGGTCTGAACTGGACTTTGAAGTTACACAGAGAACCTTCAAACAAGGGGGACATGTCTCTGCTGCTTCGATTCCAACCTGTCTTTTTACAATCTGTCTCCTGCGTGTCCCATTAGTATACAGCTGAAATACCGCTTTAAGCTCTTGCTGTCGTTCACAGGAGGCCAAATCGCTGATTTCTCAGAGGTCATTTAATCCCAGAGACATATTCAAACAGAGGGAGCAGAGCTTTGAGTCCAACAACCGACTGTCTCCTGCTGCATCCAGACCTGGTAAACAACAGATCCAGAGTAAATAACACTGATGACACGTGACGTGATTAATAATGTTTTCACTCTGTCATGCAGGGAAGCTGCAGAGTCCGTTTTTATCCCAGAAATCCTTGGAGAGAGAAGCTCCGCTGCAGCCTCAGTATCCAGCTGTGACCCCCCTGTCTCCTGTCTCACCTGAACGGTCTCACTCACCTGTTCCGGGTGAGACCCCCCTGTCCACCGTCTCACCTGAGCGGTCTCATTCAGCTGACCAACCTGTGTTCCCGCCCTACTCCATGCACCCCCTGTCTCCTGTCTCACCTGTCTCACCTGTGCTGTCTCATTCACCTGCTCCAGCTGTGTCACCTACACCGCCGAAGACAACAGACTCACCTGTTCAGGCTGCAGGTTAGACACACGACACATATTGATCATGAGCTACCTCTCCTCTTGGGTGGTCAGGTACCTCTTCATCTCACCGACATCAAAGGAAAGTTTTTATTAAAGGATTCTTCAAGCTGAAATGGAGTCACAAGGCCAGAACAAAATGTTGGCATCGCAAGTTTCTGCAGATCACTTACATTTTCATTTGTGTTATATCATCAATTCTTAAGTGAGCCGACTTTGTCATCATAAGGTGGGGGGGTGGTGGATGGTATGACACCTAGCTGAGACGCCTGCTAAACTGCAGACCACTGTTCAACACCAACAAACGACAAAACTGGTTGTTGATTCGCGACCTGTCGCTGCCTTTCCAACCAGGATTGTGACCCCAGAATTGAGCCCTTTTAACCAAAACACAATCTTTTCCTAACTGTAACATGATTTTGTGCCCAAATTTAACCACGTTAACCACAGTGATGTTGAAGTGAAAGTTTCAACCTATCTGCCACATAATAACGTACAGATGTAACGCATTCGCGGTTTGCAGAAACGTACAATCCCAACATTTTTTTCTGATGACTGGATCATGAATACTTTAGACCGAAATAAATCTCTTTCTGATTATCAGACTGCAAACGACAATAAATTGTTGCCTAGCTAGCTAGCACACCCAGCGATCCCTCTGCTTTTGTCCCTGGTGCTAGGAGACCTTTCACCACGGGAGCAAATTTGCCATTCCTATGATGTCTAAGGCACAGCCTGCCTTACTCAGGGACTGCCCATTGTTCAGATGTCCCAAAAACCCAGTCCCATTGGTCCAAAAAATGTCCCATTGAACCGAAAGCCCATTTCTGCGACAGCCCATTATCCCCAAAACAAATGCCCCAGGAAGGTTAGGAAAAGATCAGGTCTGGTGGCACAAACATCGCTGGGAAACCCTGCGAAGGGTCGGTAAAAGCACCAGAGATCGGTGGCTGAAATACAGCTGGGGAACACTGCCAACAGTTGGTGAAAACACCCAGGATTAATGGCTCAGAATACTGCTGGGAAACAGAGCGAGGTTTTGGTGAAAAACACCCAGACTTGGTGGCTCATATGCTGCCTGGAAACAAGGCTAAGGGTCGATAAAGACACTTGAGATTGGTGGCTCAAATGCCAGTGGGAAACACCATGAAGTTCCGATGAGCCCATTCACTCCGAAGTCATCGAAATCCAGGACGAAAGTTAAGGCAGCAAAAGTGCAAGTGGGGTGGGCGGAAGGGGTTGTGGATGGGTCCAACAAACCGTCACCTGAGAGAGCGGCGTTCCTATCCTGTAAGAGTCTAAAGCCAAACCCTGTTCTTTTTTCCTAAACCCAACCACATGCGTATGCTGTTGAAGAAAAAAAATAAATTTACGGTGTTGTACTGACGTAGTGCTTTTATTTTGAAAGAGACTGTAGGTAAAAGTTAAATTTCTTTTGAAAACAAAGTCTATCTTGAAAGAAGAGAACTTCACACAGCGTCCCAGAACGTCAACAACCAACACACCCAGGGTACCTTGCACGTTGTACGTTGACGTGGAAAGTCCATGAACAAAACGTGAATATGTGACGAGGTCAGAATGAGGACGATGTTGTTTCATTGATAAATATTTGTTGAACCTACATACAGATGTGAAGGGTAACCAACAGCATTGATTCATGAAAAAATGAGACAGAAAGACAAAATCTGGAGATACAAGGTTTCTGTGACTAAGTATCCAGACATGTCTCTCTCTGTCGTTGATCCACACAGATGCTGTTTACACAGAAGAGGAGGAGTGGTCAGATGAGTTTGATGAAGATGCAGATGAACCTACTCCAGGTATGGTGATGTTCTCTGTGACAACTTTTGTAGCTGTGATACTCAACCTACAAATCTGGCTTGCAGCAGGGTGCTGGGTGGCTTAAGCCCCGTCTCCACCAAACCCTTTCAGTCCAGTCCCTTTGGAACCAGCAGTAAGCCTTCAGACATGGTACCTAGACCCTCGGTGTGTTCAGACAGTCCTCTTAAATGTGGGCGGGGTTGTTGTCACTCACTGCTCCGTCCAGCACTCGCTGTATTTCCTCATCAGCGGTGACACAGATGGAAGTCTGCACCTGGTTTATCGTCCACAGAACGAGGCTGCACGCCCACATTTTCACAACAAAATAGAACAGGCTGCAGTGAGAGTCTCTCTCCATGGGATATTTAAAAATAGCAGCTTTGTGCATTTAGTCCTTCTCAGGCAAGCTCAGGGGTTTAGTGTTGCTGTAGCCCACAGGAAGTGAGGATTAGAATATATGACCTTCACATAATCCGCTCCAAATTAATCTATATTTTTAAAGTCATTACTAAAAGTGTGTGTCATATAAAAACTAAAGTGATGGTCAAAGTTGTCACAGTGAAATTTAAGGTGTGCTGATGGATTCACGTCATCAACTCATGCATTGAGTAACATTACAAGTTAACGTTCCACCTTAAAAGTGGAAAAAAATGTGACTGAACTGAACTGAACCGTACTGCTCGGTGGAAATGGAGCATTAGTGACCATTTTGTAATTCACCATGAAACTGATTCATACTGGATTTCTGTTTTTGGACAGAGTGTATAAAAAAAACATCCAAACAGAAGTTGTTTACAGAAAAAGTGTCACAGAAGGATCCTCCAGACCCCCAGCAGAGGTCTGGGCTAATCTTAGAAACGGCCCTGCATACACCTGATGTTTGGCTGGATCTGACTTCTGGCAGAGATAAGCGAGCAAACGTTGAAAATAGGCAATTTATTTAGAAATATCATAGTCATCTGTTTATTAACAGATGAGTGTCTCAGACTCACAGATCAAAACAAGTTTTTACAAACACCTCCTGGAGCAGTGGTGGCACTTAACTGAGTACACCTACTTTAGTGCTACACTTTTTACTGCACTACATTTATCTGTCCAACTAAGATTTTACACACAAAACAAATCAAAGTCCAGCAGCCTACAGGCAGCCTGCTACAATCTAAAGAACTGAGCCATTGCTCATTGCATTTTTGGCCATTTTCAGAAGTCGTACTTTGAGGAACTCCTTTTAGAGATTTGATCCAATCGACTTCAAAGTTGGTCTGTCCCAGTGCAACACTTTAACGATGAAAAGTTATTAATTAAAAGCTTGAGTTTTCATTGAACCGTGTGACTGTGGCGATGCGTCAAACTGTTTCGCCACAAAACAGGATGTAGTTAGTAACTCCAGTATACATGGTTCAATCTGCCCCAAAACTGCACAGGATTGATGACAGTCCTGCCCTGAACACATCGACAGGCCAAGTGAGAATATGTTGAAACACTAAATAGTCTGAGCACTTCCAGCTTCACTGTGCTGCAATACAAAGAACATCACAATGGCAGAATTTAAAAACTTATCATGCATTGATCCATAAATGTCTCCAACCTGCAGAGGATCTGTACGAGGCACCACGTCCGTCAGCAGAGACAGAGGACGACCTGTATGAAAATGTCTACCAGCACGTCCCCACAGTGAGTCCTCTCTGTCCTTGATTCTACAAAGTACATTTACTGCAAGTACGTTACTGGAGTTTATACAATGTATTAGACCTCCACCACATTCAGAGGGAAACACTGACCTTTTTACTCCACTGCATTTATCTGACAGCTGTGTCAAGACTTTACATTAAAGACATCAAAGTTTATAAAGTACAACGTAATTTAAAAGATTTTTTTTTAAATGAAATCTTCAAATCAAATCTTCAGGTCATGCCTCCTCGTCATGTTTCAGATGTTTATGAGTTTTGGCACATCTCTCCTCTGAACGTCTCAAAGTTTTGAATATTTGACAATGTAACAACTTTTTCTTTCCTCTCTGTCCTGAGCACAGATACGAGGCTGGTATCCGTCTGAACATCTCACTCTCAGAAAGAATATGACGAAGCGTAATTTTCAAAATGCTGAACTATTTATTTGTGCCTGCGACTGGAATTTTGAATTTCTTTTAGCAGAGCTGTTCTCTGAGAACAAAGTCTCAATATCAGTCAAACCATTGTGCTGAGAAGTGAGTTTTTATTTATCTGTGATAGTCTGGTGACCTGTCCAGGGTGAACCCCGCCTCTCACCCAATGTCAGCTGAGATAGGCTCCACCCCCCTGCGACCCCCAACAGGATAAATGGTTACAGAAAATGAATGAACTATTTTTTTTATCGTTGGGCACCTGATGACACTATTGTGTTTTAATCACATTAAAAAATCATAAATAGTTTGATAAGAAAATGTTTGTATCTGAAAAACTAAAAGGAACACAATTAAATATTTGGTATCTATGAACTTTGAACAAGTTCAGCATTAAAGTTATATATACACATGTGCAGTGTTAAAAATATTTCTTTCTGGACAACATTTAATAAACACAGTGTAGTGTTTTTTCTTTTTATTCATTCATTTGCTGTATCCGCTTATCCTATTGGAGCTTATCCCAGGTGACACTGGGTGAGAGGCAGGGTTCACCCTGGACAGGTCACCAGACTATCACAGGACTGACACATAGAGACAGACAACCATTCACACTCACATTCACACCTACGGACAATTTAGAGTCACCAATTAACCTGCATGTCTTTGGACTGTGGGAGGAAGCTGGAGCACCTGGAG